TGCCCAATGCACCCGCTACGATCTGTCATACGCAGTGCACCAACTGACACGGGCATGCGCAAACCCAGCACAGGTCCACATGGCTGCGGCCAAGCACCTACTACGGTATCTACGCGGAACGCCGGACCTACCGATTGTGTACAAGAAGGGGCAGTTTAGACTCTCTTGCTTCACTGTGACTCGTCATTTGGAGCCAACCCAGACAACGGCAGGTCTACCACCGGATACCTGTTCTTCCTAGGAGGGGGACTGATCAGCTACGGAGCCAAGGCACAGACTCTCGCAGCACAGAACACCGTGGAGGCCGAACTCCAAGCGCTGAGCTTCAGCGCTCGCGAGGCAGTCTACATCTCCAACTTATGACAGAAATCGGGTTCAAGACCTTTCGATCGGTACCCATCAACAGCGACAGCACCGGAGCATTGACTGTGGCCAGCAACGCGATGTTCAGCTCTAGAACCAAGCACATCGCGCTCCGGTTCTTCTTCCTCAGGGAACTCACGAAGGGGCACCGGATCACTCTTCACCACCAACCTAGTGCCACGATGTTGGCGGACATCGCGACGAAACATCTCCCGAAGCAGCGATTCGCCACCATCATGCAACTCATCAAGGACTACAAGTGCTAGAAGATATTAAGCACAAGATCGCATAGTATGGTTGAATGTTTTGGACGCGTGTATTGCTCACAGGATGGATTCACTCATGTGGAGGTCGATATTCTTTGATATGGATTGGGAATCGAGGGGTCGCAAGAATGGCAGCGAAGTGAAGTTTGTTTGGAACATCGGCTACTTGCCTAATCGAGGGGTCGTGTCGAGGAAAACTGTTACAACGTAGTCAGGCACAGTTTACCATAGGTGCGACTGCGGCAACTAGCCTTCCGTAGACATAATACAGAAAGAAGAGATGGTACTCAGCAGAGAACATGAGCACAGAGTTGTAGCGGAGATAATTTGGCAGGCGAGACTGTAGTTGTTTTATTGTTCCGAACCCCGAAATTCCGGTACTCGGGCCATTACTCCGGAGACCCTCGGAACCTGCTGTGTTTTTGCTGCTTGTTTTTTGTTTTGTTTTCTTGTTGAGATGAGACACGNATTTTTTTATATGGATTGGGAATCGAGGGGTCGCAAAAATGGCAGCGAAGAGAAGTTTTGGAACATCGGCTACTTGCCTATAATCGAGGGGTCGTGTCGAGGAAAACTGTTACAACGTAGTCAGGCACAGTTTACCATAGGTGCGACTGCGGCAACTAGCCTTCCGTAGACATAATACAGAAAGAAGAGATGGTACTCAGGAGAACATGAGCACAGAGTTGTAGCGGAGATAGTTTGGCAGGCGAGACTATATAGTCGTTTTATTGTTCCGAACCCCGAAATTCCGGTACTGGGGCCGACTCCGGAGACCCTCGGAACCTGCTGTGTTTTTGCTGCTTGTTTCTTGTTTTTGTTTTGTTGTTGAGATGAGACACAAGCGCGCCTTCGCCCCTTGTGCTCACTCTCATCTAGCACCCATCAAAGCCTGACCAGGGAGTCAGTTGATAAGAAAATCTATCTACATTTCTCTTTCCAGAGCTCGCTCGGGCCTACCGATCTCACAGCAGTGTAGACCAACCTCTGTGATAGAGCGGTGACAGCAGTGTAACCTCTGTGGTAGACTACAAAGTCTACGAGCTACAGCAGCACCGCCACCTCCGCTGCTGCAGGACGCCACATTTTGTGATACCCTTCTCGCGAAAAAAATATCACGCAGGAACCGCAGGAGGGGGTCCAACCCCCCCCTCCTATGTGACGTTTACTGAAAAGTGGAGATTGTCTGCCAACGAGAACAAGGAGAAACCACCAGTAGAACATAGATGGAAGTGGGGGATCGAGGAGATTGCAGTAGTGGACCAGTACACATACCTCGGAGTAGAGATCGCAAAAGACTGNCCCTGTCTCTTATACACATCTAGATGTGTATAAGAGACAGGTAGAACATAGATGGAAGTGGGGGATCGAGGAGATTGCAGTAGTGGACCAGTACACATACCTCGGAGTAGAGATCGCAAAAGACTGCTCGTGGAATGCACACATGTCCAAGAAAGCGGAAAAGCGCAAAGCACGAGCAGGGAAGCTGCACCCAATACTCGCAAACCGGCACCTCGATACACGCATCAAATTGACGGTTTTGAAGGGCGTCATCGTACCACCGCTAGAGTACGCCGGAGAAGTATGGGAAGGAAATAAGAAGGTAGTGAAAGAACTCGAGGCGGCGCAGATGAAAGCAGCGAAAACCATCCTAGGATGCTCCAAGCGCACAAGTAATGCAGCCGTCAGGGCAGAATTGGGGATCCAATCCCTACGGTCGGGAAGAGACGCGAGGAAGCTGACATGGCAGTATCGCATGTGCGGGATGGGAGAGGAGAGGTTGCCGAGAATTGTATGGGAGGCGAAGTGGGCAAACAAAAAGAAGGGTAGACAACCCACGGAATGGGTCAAGGTTGTATGTGAGGAGGAAGTGCCAAGAAAGCGTTTCCGATAGTCTCGGCTTAGCTGCAGTTCAAGCAAGCTTCAAGGTGAAGTGTGAGAGGGGGCGCCACGTGGGCATCTCCCCATCTCCGAGATTCACATGATTAATGGTCATGGTATTCCGTGAATCTTTCCTGGCAAATAAATGTCGTCGGGCGGTAGAACATTGTTCATGTGTAATAGTCCGACGATCTTTGCGGGTAGCATGTGCGTCATTCCCTCTAGGAAGATACATATATTATCCTGGTTTCCACGTGTACCCTGAATACCTTGGTTCTGCGAGCATTCGTGACGATGTAGTATCAGGGAGGGTATTCGTGGGGTGGATATTATCACCCTATCGAAGGCTGCTGCGGTAATACGCATCATGTATGTGTAGTTTGTTTTGTTTTTTTCTCCATCATTGGACTCTGTCGTCTGCCCCTCTGGCCCCTATCCTCCACTTTTACCAGCTAGACGACCCAACCGGGGTCACATAGGAGAGGGGGGGGTTGGACCCCCTCCTGCGGTTCCTGCCTGAGATATTTTTATCGCGAGTAAGGGTACAGCAATCCCTTCCCTCGCGACTTATGAAGTCGATCAAGTTTACCAACAACGAGGTTTGCAGCGCGTCGCTTCCAACGGAGACCAGGATTTAATTAGCGAGAAAAAACTCACTTTGTCGAGACTCGAACCCATGACCTGGCCCTTAGTAGGCTACGAGGCTACCCACTAGACCACCGGGGCGACCGGTGTGTGAGGTGATGAAGGTATTGCGACAAGAACCCGTTGCACGGACGGATAGACTGTATCTTCCGACGTTATTATTTATAGACTAGGACTAACTTGGAATGAATGTGCCCCCAAGTTTGTAGCGGATGATGCATCTTTCCGACGGTGAAATTTCGTGCGATTGGCTGCCCGATGGAGTGCTTTGGTGTTTGTGGGGTGTGATGCACCTGGTGCTCACTCTGTCTTGTTGCTTGTCTACAAGGAAGGGCAAAATCTAATTGACGACTTTATAATCCCTTCACTCTTGTCAACCGGGTCAGCCGTGCTTGTCCAGCAGCACTATTATAGGCTTGGGGCCGGTCAACAGAAGGTGAGTGAGCATGCCTGCCTGTAGGGTGTTGATTCGGGCCAAATTAGTACATGATGCCGATACAGTCCTTCTGACTCATGGTCGGACAAACTTGTCCTCAACCCGACCTACTCCAGCCCCCACCTGGGAAGGCTAGGGCGGTCATCTGAACAGCGGGTGGACCGCTCAGCCAACAACATCATTAGGCGGTACTGGGGTTTGAGCTGCGGGTACTAGCCAACAAGGGCATCACCTACGGGGGGGGGCACAACAACCATTTTTCTTCGATTTACTTTTTCCCCTTATCATGTGATAAACACCTGGCTTACCCTCTAGATTTCCTTTGCCTTCCGCTGAACTTCCGCGACTGACTTTGACTTTCGTTCAGGTTAAACTTGAGCCCAGCGTGGCTGCACGACATTCTGGATGCGGTTTTCTAGGGCTTTCGGGACTGTTTTCCTTGCTCTCAGCCCCCACGTGGTTCGGGCTTGCATTTCCGACGGTGATTGCTCCCAATGCGAGTATTGGTAAGTGTCAAATTGGGGAGTGAAAACACATGCATGCATGCCTTTCGCAAGGGAGGATGTTGGCCTACATACACCACATAGTGGTCTAGTCTTCATGTCCCGCATGTATGTACTCTTTATTTAGGTGAAAAAGAATCTTGGTCTTTGATTGGTATGGTCTTAGGTCACCCCTTCGAGGTAGCACACGAGCATTTCGCTTTGTATGGTTGAGCGTGCAACGGCAGCACGATTCCTTTGTAGACTACAAGGAAAATACGAAAATAATTGTGGGCATTTTCATCCCGAGGCGCGTGATTACGATAGATTGGAAATTCTGGGCTGGTAGCGTGAGACCCGCCGATTCCAGGATTCTTGCATACGTAGTCTAGGAATCACGGTGTCGGTTTGCGCAAACAAAAAGAACACCGAATACATGGTGGGTTGTGAGCGCAAATCGACACCATGACGAATCCGATGTCTGTATGGTCTATGTGTCGGGATGCTTCTCAACATTTAGAGCCCACTTTGCTTCTTCTGCGCACCAAACTCAAACAAACATGGATAGTGTTAGCGTTAGTGTGATAGTGTAACAAGGGTGGGGCAACAAGGGTGTGTTAGATACACAACATATCCACTGAGCTAAACAGTCAGCGCTGACTGTTTAGCTCAGTGGATATGTTGTATATCTAGCAAAAGTACAACCAGGGTCCGAACAGCTGTTAGGCTGTCTGACTCTGGTTTTCCCCCAGGGTTGTAATCCCTGTAATCAGCGCTGCCCCAAGCGGTTCATCGGCTTACAGGCGGGGATATGTGTCTTCATCGTTGACGACTGGTGATGTGTACCATGACTTTCAGGTGTGTATCCCAGACTTTTTTCTCTTTCCTGAAAAAGGGCGTCAAGATGGCTCCCAGAGGGTTTCGCTGCTGGTTGTACTTTTGTTAGACATACAACATATCCACTGAGCTAAACAGCGCTGGTTACAGGTCTAACAACCCTGGGGGAAAACCAGAGTCAGACAGCCTAACAGCTGTTCGGACCCTGGTTGTACTTTTGTTAGATATACAATGGTGTTTGACATAGAACATATCCACTGAGCTAAACAGTCAGCGCTGACTGTTGAGCTCAGTGGATATGTTCTATATCGAACAGGGTGGGTATCACACTCCCTCGGCGTACATGACTTCTCATGCTGACTCACCGGTGAATCCTTTACGTAGTTCTTCGATTCACTAAATGCCATGCAGGGGCGACATGCGACCATTCAAGTAAGCAACCTTACATAGCAATGATTCCGTTAGCATCAGCCAGCTCAGTATGGCACAGAAAAGGCCGAAACTCACCGCGCACGTTGGGGTAGATAATGTTGTTCAAACCCGAATAGGATCCGTGTAGCTAAGAGAGCGCATGGATCTTTGGGGAAAGGAAACCCGTAGACTGGATCGGTGAGGCGTACTAACCTGCCGGAGTCCCCAATCATATCGGTCTACGCCCTCGGGGCGTTCGAGTCATCATACTCCTACGCTTGCCGCTTCAAGTATTGTTTGTCTACGTGGGCTGTATCCCCTCGTGGAGATGTCGGCACAAGTCCTTCGTTAAGAGCAAAACAAGAATAGCATGGTTCACCCTCCCGTTTGCGGGGGGGGGTTATGCAACGCTATGATCTTGGCCCTCTTGGCCCCCGCCACTTCCCGTCATGCCGCTTTCTGGCTCCCTTCCACTAACGGCTCGTCCTAAACCTCGTGTTTGTGTGTCGTACAAATTTGGAGAGATAGCTAAGGGTCCCATCGAGATACCAGGTATTTGCCGTGATCGCACGGCCTTCACTGACTGCTGCACACCCGCGGGGATGGGATATTGTTTAAACCGGGTGTGCCAAGCCCCCCTTCCTTCGAACCGCGCCCGACGCCTCCAGGATGATGGCAACACCTGCGGTGAGGAGACCTCCGTAGTCTCTCTGTGTGTTGGTACATGTAGTAAATTGTCCAGAGTTCGGCAGTTGGTTTATGTCCCGAAAATGGCTTAGATTTCTCTGGACGTAAATTTGATGAAACTGGCCGGCAAACGGTGTTGTTGTAGTCTGAATAGACGTTCAGATATCGTGGTATGTATGGGTGTTTGCTTAGGGAAAGCCCTCAACGACCCAGTACCTTTCGGGCAAACACACACACATTGTTCCTGTTCTTTCAGCCTAGAGCTTTTGAGCGGAAACAACACATGTCGGGCACACAGATTGAATGATGGCCTGACGGAGAGGGCAGAGCTTCCACAGCAAGCAGCCGTTGATGACAGCATTAAAGTGCCGCCAGAGTCGGCAAGAGACGGGTGGGCTGTTGAAATTATTTCGGAGATGTTCCACTGAAATCATGTGTTGTAGTGTTGTCTGTTCTCGGAGTGCTAGGGTTAACCTTAACCAAAGTGCTAGACAGTGGAAATCGACCATACAGGTGAATGTACCAACCGTCGCTTGTTTGTGAACAACATTGAAGCACGAGCTGCTGATAGGTATCGGAGGGTGCTGGAGCCGACTTTCCTCGCTCCCGTACGAAAAACATATGGGGGGTGCTGGGTGCGATTGTGTTCATAAATCATTCTCCTGCCCGCTTCGGTAGGGCATCGGCGATAAGACCCGCGGAAAGCCAGTGGATTGGTACTGTTTCGCTGTTTGGTATTTTTTTGACAAGTAACTTGCACGATCTTCGAACTATTTCCTGTTCGCGTGCAAATGCAAGTAGGCATGTGTTTGCTCGACTATTAATAATCCGATGTGTTCTTGAACCTTTGCAGAGAAGCCTGGTTTTGCTGCATATCGTTGGTATCGCAAACTCGTACTTCAATTCATCACTCACTCCCGCTTGCGCTACAACTGCGCCTCCTCCGCTTTCAAATGTCCCCTCGACCTACGTACGTAGATGACGATGATAATGCTGACCATATATGGGGCGACCCCCACATGAGAGGCCTCCTCGGCCAGAGGGTCAACTGGTCTGGGTTTGACGGCGGCTGGTACTCCCTGATCAAGGACGACAATGCTGATCTCCACATCAACGTTCGCGTTACCGCTCCTCTACCGGACGAGTTCCCGGACCGCCAGCTCATGACCAGCCTGGCTATCATGTCGGAGGGGTACTCTGTCGTCATCGAGGTCAAAAACCCTTACACCACCGACACGGGCGGCTGTCCAGAGGACGTCTCGCCCTGCCATGCGAACGGAGGACTGCGTATCATCGTCGACGGTCACGAGGTGGATGAGCTTCTTCGATTCTCCAGGCAGATGCCCGGTGGCAAACGGTACCATGTTATTGTCTGCATCCAACCTTCCGGTGGAGTGCCGGCAGTTCGGCGGTCACAGGATATGGGCCCGCATGTACCAGGACATCCTCGAGGGCAGGCGCCAATTGCGCGGTGGTGAAAGCCTCGAAGAATGGATCCTGAGGTACGACCAGAACATGCCGGCGCGCACGTGGTGCGCCAAGTACATCGCCGAGAACGATCTCGCCGACCTGCAAGCCAACCATGCCATCTTCAAAATCCAGACGCCCACTGTCACGGTGCGTCTCAACGCTGGCGTCAACTACCAGAGCAACGGTGAACTAAACTGGGATGGACGCGTCCTTCCTGATCTCGAGTTCTGGCAGATAGACGTCGGGATCGACGGGCTGGACGTGGACAAACCGGCGTTGTCCGGCCTCTTCGGTGAAACGGCCTGCCCGGTATACGACGAGAACGGAAAAGCGGTTATGGAAGGGTACGACGCTTTCCGTGGCGCCGTTGAGGACTACCGCGTATCCAGCGCTCTGGGCGTCCACTTCGCCCTTCTCGACGAGACGGAGAACGGTCATGAGTAGAAAGAAAAGTTATACAATCGTTACCCATTACGGTGTCACCAGAGGGCGCGTCTGGAGCATACGAGGTAGACCGAACCGCGAATTCGCACGTCAAAAGACATGTCTCAAAAATTCGCCGAGGTTGTTTTTCTAGTCGAGAATGCGGTAGGATTTTTCTCTCTAGAACAGGTGCTGTGAGGCTGTGGAATTTTTTATGTACCCGCGCTATCTCCCTATTTCTACCTGGTCGGGTATTCTTCAAGACAAGAGATGGGTGAGCTTAGCTCCCAGTTTCTTCCTGTTTGTGTAAAGGTTGAGTGCAAATAACGGAATACATCACATTTACATATTTCCTTCCTGATGAGAGAGTTGGACCTTCCTGATGTTCATGAGCTTTCGTTGATACATAGACTATTTTGATTTTGCAATGCTTTCATTTTTTATTTCATTTTCGGTTGGGTTTGTTCACATCTCGATATTCTTGACAGATGATCGATCGCGTTTTCCTGCGGTGACATGGATTTGATAATGGTGTTTTTTCGCAGAGCGGCCCGGTGGGGGTGCTTTGGTTTTGCGAAAAAGAACCATTTAACACTACTTGCGCACACCAACAATATTTTGCCCGAGCTGTCCCAACTGCTTCCATCTTAATTCGTGGTCGGCGCGTCGAGATAGCACAGCATCTCCGTCGAATTTGAAGCAGGGAAGTTGTGTTGCCACCAACTACGGCTGGTACGCAACACGTGGTTTAGGTATATAACATTATATCCTGTTGCACTTCCTGTGCACTACGAACGAACATCTAAGTTGATTGCTGAGAAAAAAAAAAAAAAAAATACACCTTAGCCTATGTGGGGGCAGTTGGCTTGTGACCACAGAAGGCGTCCGCGTCAGTTGGACCAGTACGGACATTAGAAGGCACTGGGCGGAAACCGGAACGTTTTTCCATGTGAAGAACAAGAACGCACGTCTGGTGGGCGGCATTCTGCCCTTTCCCACCCGACCGACCGAGTAGATAACAGCAGGTCAGGTAATCTCTACATGGTGCTGTTGTACGCACGGGAATAAATATGAAAGGGTACCCGCTTGAGAAAATACCCCGTTGGAAGGGATGGGTTGAAGTCTTTGCAATGAGGGTTGAGGAACACCTGCGAGTACTGAACTCTTTCATTGACTCTGGACAATGACAAAAGCGTTCACTGCGTGTTCGCAGTGTCAAAACGCCAGAATGTCAGCACAGAGAAAGGCAAAATGCGGTGAAACCGATACCGCTTCGTTCGTCGGTAGCCGGCATAGGACGTGAAATCGCACACCATACCCGGCGGTTAGAGCAGTGCGGGGTAGCCCGCAGCCCACGCACGCATATTCTAAGAGTCAAGGTGAAGTTCTGCGACATCCTGCTCCTCCACCGATGGCTGCTTTCCAGCGCGAGCACGCTTACGTCGCACAAGCTTTGGATCCCTCCCATATCCCGGAGCACAAGCTGGCCGAAAACCAGCTGCCGACGAAGGAGAACCGAGATCTGTACGGCGCTGCCACATCGTGAGAACGCAGTCAACAGTCAACTCATAGTTGTCTATCAAACAGCTCTGGTATTGATGACCTCTACAGCCATTGAGTGTGAAATAGGTGCCGTTTAGCTGCAGCGCATTCCCAGCCTACAGAAACGTACATACATAGATGTCATGCTATGCAATGCAGACCAGGAACCTGGGATCCGTACGAGAGGGGAAACCACTCCCGCTCTTGCGCTCTACATGTCACGGCGCCACCCCACGCAAGTTTTCTCCGCAACAGAGGTGTTTTGAGTTGCATGAGTAGCTGATCACCAACCAAGGCAGTAGTCTATATCTCGTCGTTTGTATGCTTTGCCTACAGTACGCGCCATTTGGTGGTGGCGCCTTCTCTATGTCCCCATCTGATGATGTCCATCCTCCCATGGCGTATGCGTAGGGGAAATCTTGGCGAGCTGAAGGTGGCGCTGGCTGCTGGAGCTAATTCCAACTGGTGAGTTTTGCCAGGAATTCCTTTACAGCTACACGTGCACGCGGAGTGCATGATCCCATTGAAACTTCGATCAAGGTCGGTGGATGTTGAACTCAAGACACGTAACCGTCTGCTGTTCAAAACGTTGTACTGTAGCCTGCCTTGACTTGTAGAGGTATCATCACGGTCGGATGAGCCAAAACATTTGTTGTTGTGTAAAATGAAGAAAGTATCAACAACGGCTGTTGCTGTGGGCACTTGTGGTGGGAACACCTTTAATTGCACTTCATGTCCCGAAGTATCGAGAAGCGTTTCGGATCGTGTCCAGCGTAGTTTTTGCTGCATGGGTTGGACGGAATACAGCTCGTCCAGAACATTCCTTATGGAGTGCCGTCATCAGATGTATATGTGGGGCAACGACATGATGAGCTTTTGGTTTCGACCGCAGTCTTATTGGTTACCCTGCAGAGACACAACCGCGTGAACCGCGCGCGCGCGCGAGTCCGCGAGATGTACCTTATTCCGAACATACGGCACGAGCGACTCTCTGCCCAAGAAAAGCATCTCCCTTGCTCTTTCGGGTCATCTACCTGTTCCTCTATGCATACACTAACAACACATAGTTTCCAGGGTAGTCTATTGGCGTAGTAGTGCGTGTGTCACGTACCACTACCCTTGCTCTCGTTTTCGCTGCCGTCCGCGAAGGTACAACAAGTCAGAAGACGGGGCCACGGCACTCCACAGGGCGGCGAGCGGTGGGCACGTGGGATGCGTAGAGCAGCTGCTGAAAAACGGGTGAGGATTCTCACACGACGCAGACACGACTTGAGGTTTGTTGGGTGCTTTAGAGTACGCTCCGGAGTACCTACACGCACGCGCTTGTCGTGAAATTGAAATCTGCAAGCTGTCCTTGCCCACTTTACCGCCGAGTAGACATTGGTGCTAGACAAACGGATCACCGTAGACGGCATCATGTGCCCTCCATCCCCCCACCCGCCCTCCTTTTGACGCACGAACATCAGATCAGTCATCGACGAACGTCTCCTGACAAACAGCAACTCGGCTCTGCATCTTGCCTGCGGGAATGGGCACATGGAGACGGTCAAGGTTCTCCTCGCTGCGTCCGCAGCCGTCAACGCGGGTAACAGCTACGGGAACGCACCCATTCACGCGGCACTGATGGGCGGACACCGTGCGGTGAGAGCGATCATACCTTTCCTAGTTTTGAAAAAGATCACTGCCGCCCGCGTTGTACGGGTCTGGACGTCGTGTCTATAGTCCTCTTGTTATGACGCGCGGCTTGCGACATGGATCCTCTGATCGCCGTCATTTTCGCACGAACCGCCGCCTATTTCTTCGTGGCTGCTGCTGTCCCAACCGGGGTGCCACCTCAGGGTTACGTTGCATCCGATCCGAGGTCGTTTTTTCTATCTACACAAGAAGATAGAGCAAAATTTTCACCACACCTACACTACATACACCTGCGATGATGGTGACACGTGCACAAAGGTCGTCGAGCTGCTGCTAGAGAGTGGCGCGGAGGCGCAGTGGACGAACAACAAGGGCTCATCGTTGCTGCACTTTCTGGCTTACTCCACCGCCATGCCGCTAGCAGACAAGAAGGCGCTGGCGCTGAAGCTAGTCCAGGCCGGCGTAAACCTCGATTCCCAGGTGACCAAACTGTTCCAGAGGAGGTTCTGCTTATATAAGGGCTGTGGTTGATTGAATGACCTTTGCTTCCTTTGCTTGCGCGTGCCATGTAGGTGATCAGCTTAATAGTTTCGGTTTCGCGCAACCATACAGACAACCCAAGGCGGCACTGTTCCGCCTCCTTGCCCAGCACCCGTTCAGGGTTGACGTACGTGCATCATAAACCCCGACCTTCGCTATGTTCTCGATACGTCGACCACTTTTTTTAGCAATGATGGCATGCGGATCGAGACACAACTGCGTGTGTATGTGCGTGTATATCTTGCTGAGACATGCATGGTGTTTTCACCACATCACGCACGAAAAAGATACCCGTCATCTCCGTATTTGTCGTACGCACATGTTGCATTACAGGATGTTCTACTTCACCGACCGACGAGCTCACCCAACCTCTTCCACTCCCCCCCCTACCCACACCTCTCCACGCCTGCCGGTACGACTTGATGTATTCTTTTTTTGTGGGGCGGGCATTGGTTTGGTACGCGATAGGACGAGGATGGCATGACTCCGCTGCACGTGGTAGGCCAGAGTGGAGACAAGGAGATGGCCACCTTTCTCTTTGAGAACGGTGAGTTGTTCGGCACGTCGCTGGTCGCTGGACACTCGTCGTGCGAAACAACAGTAGTTGTGAAGCAGCGCCATACTTCAGCAAGTGTTTCTGGCACGAAGTCTTCCAAATGCTGTCGTAGTCGCTTCCTGTGTTCGCTGTTGCCTGACTCGCCCCCAAGCCATAAGCGTGGATCCCCTCGGGTTTGTGGTCTACAGGTTGTTTCCCTGTGGGTTTCCTCCAAGATTTGTTGGCGTCTGCAGTCGGAGCGATACGGGGGCCTGACTGTCCGAGGGCATATAATATGTAGCCAACTCTGTGGTGTCAGCGCATGCCCACAGCCGTAGATTGTGCCTTCGCACGATCACGCTCTCGATCATACGACCTTTCACCCGAGTATGCTACCGATCGTTGAACTTTCAGGTAGTGGCGTGTGGGAGTCAACAATGCATCACGGATTTGTTAACTGGGGAGAAATAGGGCACAAGGGTGCGTGATCAAGATCATGACGTTTTTCAGTTTTAACATAACAACAACAACAACAACAACAACAACAACATCAACAACAACAACACACATCACCAACAATGATATGACACGACAGGGGCGGACATCACCATCAAGGACAACAAGGGCAAAACGCCTCTGCAGTGGGCGCAGATAAACCGCCACGCGGAGGTGGGCTCCCTCCTCGACGGTGCAAGAAGGACCGCCGATGATGGCGAAAAGGCCGGCGGCGGTAGTGGCGGCGGCGGTGGGGGCGGCGAGGGTGGTAGGG